AGTTTCGCTCTTGTTGCCCAGGCTGGAGTGCAATGGTGCAATCTAGGCTGACCACAACCTCTGCCTCCCAGGTTCAAGCGATTCTCCTGCCTCAGCCTGCCAAGTAGCTGGGATTACAGGCATGTGCCACCATGCCCGGCTAATTTTGTATTTTTAGTAGAGATGGGGTTTTTCCATACTGGGCAGGCTTGTCTTGAACTCCTGACCTCAGGTGATCCACCCGCCTCATCCTCCCAAAGTGCTGGGATTACAAGCCTGGGCCACCACGCCTGGCCTCTGTCTCCTTTTCTTACGTAGCTAATCAGTGGTTGACTCACAGACTGAAATATTTATTTTTAAGAGTATAGTTCAAACGGTTGCTAATGGCCTTTGTGTGTGTGTGTGTACTATCACATACGTAAATGGGTATAGGCTTCCCTCTCTTTGATTGGATAGAATGAATCTTTTAATTCTTTTTCTTTACTTGTTGCAATTTAGACAACTTTCAGGTATGTAGAAGTTGCTTCTTAGGTATGCATCTATTTAAATAATTATGATAGAATCTTTATATATTTGTGAATTTAAATAATCACGATAGAATATGATATATATGGAAGTTTCTAGAACTGAGTTTCTTAACACTTTTGTTCATATTAGTTTAGCAAACTTGTATAAGTTTGCTTATTTTTTCTTAAACGGTGCCAAAAATGGAGATACTACAATGATAACTTTGCTGTCTATTTTTAAAAGATTTGAACTTGGATTTAAAAAAATAAATATGAGGCAACATAATGTAAAGGGACTCTGTCTGATATGAACCCTAATTCTACCACTTACCTGTGTGATTTTATATAAGGAGATTAAACTCTCTGAGCTTCTGTTTCAAGTGTAAAATGAGAAAAATATGGTTCCTACTTTACAAGGACTTTTTGAGGTTAAATTAGATAGTTAAATGCAATCTTGTAATAAACATTGTAGGAGAGAAAATATTTCTTTTTATTACCCATTGCTAGATTCATAGCTGAGACACCTATAACAAAAGATAGAATAATAACAGCAAAGCATGAAACTTATATTTAATATAAATTTTCCATGACATGGGAGTCCTCATTAAAAAATGAAGACCCAAAGAAGTAAGTAAACATATGTTTTTAATGTTTGGGTTTGATGAACAGGTGGGTAGTCATAGACGAGCATGATTGGACAAAAGAGATGTGATTTAATGTCTATAAACAGAGGGGAACTTAGCAAGGCCTGTTTGTTCAGATTCTTCTTTGTGGCACTGTGTCTTCAAAGATGAGGATGTTCCTTTCCTCCGGGTATGTGGAGGGCACCTCTCAAATGAGAGTCTTATGACCTGCTTCAAGGGAGAAGGGCAAGGGGTAGGTGAGAGTTGGCTTTACTGCTCCTGCTGTTTTCTCAAATGCCAAGGTACCATATTTTGGGGTGGTGTTTCTTGAGCCCCATCAACATCTATACAAGTGTCACTGTAATGAATAATTATCATCATTTATGGTTTTTGATATATTACTTGGATAAATCAGAAGAAAGTAAAATACCAAAATACCATCCAGAATTGTCCTTCTCATAGTCCTCCACTTTCTTAAATCACATGTTCACTCTGTGTCCTGGCTTTCATTTCAAATGGTTTTCTAGTATTCAAAACAAACAAACAAACAAACAAACAAAAAAACCAGATAAACTTTTCAGTGTTAATAATAGCATTGGTTATTCTTAACAAATGGTTCAGCTCCTGTATTACGCATTTGTGCTCTAAATATTAACGTCAACTTCCTTTTCCTAGACTGTGGAAACTAACATCAATTTGATTTTCTGGGTCATGGACCATACTCTGCATTTTATATCATACTTTTTATTTTTCCCTAGATTTGAACATTAGACAAGGAAAAAGATAATGAATATTCATGAACTCATTATAGATATTGCCAATTATATGCAAACACATTCAACAGATACTTGTACTGAATCTACACCAATTATATAGTGCATGATTTAGTATTGAAGCATACCTAATAAACATAAGAAGAAAAATAGACATCTGTTTCTTTTAAAATATACATATTTCCCTGTTGGTTGTTTTGAAGTTTTTCAGGATCATAAAGGACAGGTTTATTCCTATGTGTGGGTGTTCAGTGTGTTCTTGTACCCAGGTCTGAGTCCTTTTCCGATTCTCTGCATAATTCAGTTTTCTTCTCCTAGCACTAGTTACCTATGGTTTGCCAGGGAGGTCTAGAGAAGGTAAAGAATATAGCTTTTATATAAGTTAACATTTTACTGTTTTTTTTTTTTTTAAAGTAAAGTTTGCAGCTTAATTTAGTCTCTGGGGTAGGAAATGGACTGAGTGAGACACAGAGATAACCTTGTAGAAAGCATGAAGGAATGATGTGGTTTCATCTCCGTGTGTGTGTGTGTGTGTGTGTGTGTGTGTGTGTGTGTGTGACTTGTTGCCTGGGTGATAGAACAAATCCAGGAGAAAGGTTGAAAGGCAAAGACAAAGGCCGTGTCTATACAACTTCAGCTGAATTGGACCTGACTGAAAGATTGGTTTGGTCTGATTTACTAGAGCCTATCTCCTCAGTGTCTGTGATCTGAAAATTGCTTCTAGGGCCATTTTAATTAGCTGATTCAAATCAAAACCAACACATCCTGGTAACATCCATTTCTACTCTGACCCTCACCAAAGACAGTTTTCAGAATGGTGATTCCTAAGTAGTTGTGTATAAACTCAATAAGTGATTCAAGATAGGCACTTTTTGTTTCTAAACGTTAATCTTTAATGGTGAGAAAAGAACCTATTTCTTTTTGCTTTAGTGACAGGTGAGTATTAGTACACCATTGCATTTGTTCAGCACATCACAGCTTAAATCACAAAAGTAGAAGCCTGCTCTTATGTAGTTAACCTACGAAATGAGAGAGTTTCTGTTCCTCAATAACATTTTAATAAGTGGACTTCATTATGCTGCATAGCAATATGATTAATATAATATTTAAATGCATTATATTCCTGGGGATGCTTTTAAGTTAAAAGTGTAAATCAAGTCCTGAAGATAAAAATTAAAACACTTGACACCTATAATTTCCTATATTTTTTAAAAAATTGCTTTACTTATTTATTCATTTATTTACAACCTTGCATAAAATGTTACATAGTATCTTTCCCTTAAGAAAATAAGAGAAATACTATTATAGGAGAAGAATTAACAAGAGAAGCTTAATGAAATTTTAGGTTGTTAGACTAAATTTAAGAGAGAGATGGGAAACAAAGGGGGCAAAATGGGATGCCAGTAAAATAAAGAGCATTTACTATAGTTTGAAAGAGGTGTATTCATTCCATAATCTAAAATATGAGAAACAATAGAAAGTCAAAGGTAACCACATGATTTCAAAATATTAAAATTATATATGTGATACTATGATATAACAAGTAGTATGATTTCCCTAATTAGTTATTTCCAAATATGCATTTATTCATTAATCCAGTTTTCAGGACTACCACAATGTGCCAACACTGAAAAGAAACATTAAGTACATGATATTTGCCTTCATAGACCACATCGCAGCCTTGTATAGAATGTGATAATTGAATGAATAACTTCACAAAAATAGTTAAATAGTTGATAACCGCTATGGAATTATATCATATATAGGAAAAATGCATAATAGGAAAATCTAATGTGGTCCTGGTATACATTACTTTAATGTAGTTTTAGTTGGTTAGTAAATAACACACAATATCAGAAAGTTTGAAATATTTAGCTTTCATCTATGTATAAGGAGTTTTAAAATTAAATGTGCAGTGATATGGTTTGTGTAAAATAAGGTGAACTATCTGAAACTAAAAATTTAAGTCATAAACATTCACTTATCATAGATGCCTTGATAAATGTGTTCTGCTTTATGTACTTAGCCTGAATATCCCCATATGTATTAATTTTCAAAGCTGCTCGAGAAACAAAAATATATTGTTTTTATTTCTAGAAGAAGATAACATTTACATTTTAAAATTGAGACATATTTTAATGCTGCTTAAATTTATGCAGCTAATATTGATAATATACTGTCAGAGCATTTTAATACATTTTATTTTCTTTAAACGATTAATTTTAAAGTTAGTCATTACTTGTTTTATTACACCATTTACTTTCACAAATAAGTTGGTCCAACATTCAGTGAAATAAGTCATTAATTTCTTTTTTACTTTGACTCTGGTGTGCTGATGCATTCTTACATTGGAAATTAACTGGAATATTTCTCTTCTCTTATCCTAATTCTTAAAATAAGTACTTTGAGCAGCGAAATGTACCATGTTTACTCTATGAAAGTGATTTATTTTTTATTTTTTGGCAATATTCAGACTTACTAAGATTTTACTGACATCAATTGCACCACCACCGAATTGGAAAAAGACACTTTGCGTACTTTCTAGCACTGAAAGTAGAAATTGGCCTGTTGGTCAGGCACAAGTTCAGAGAAATATTTAACACTATTTAAAACTGACATTAGCACCAAAATATTTTGAAGGAGTTTTTATCATAACTTTATTTTTCCAAACTAGAAACAAAGTTGGGAAACATTGCCCTTTTACAGTCATGACTTTGAAGAGGGGAGCAATTCATCCTTGACCAGAGAATCAGCAGGCCATTTGTTGATAGCATATATAACCTGACCCGATTTCTATAGAGAAAGTGAGCTATCTAATGATTGCCTTAAGAGACTAGAGCTACTTGGAAGGGTGTGAACATTCAGATCCAGCTCATATCTCTGAGATCTTAGGGATGTGCAAGTTGTGAAAGCAATGACAGCAAAGTTACCATTTCATTCTTCTTTGTATTTGTAATATAAACAAAGCAAACAACACTTCCCCAGCCCCTCTTCTTTTGACATTTCATAGCCTTGAAAAGCTTGAACTCTGAAACACACTAGTTGCAACGTTTCTTATACCATGCAAACATCTCATGTCAGAGATAGCATCCTTGAGATTAGCCAGCTATATTGATTTGGATGCCCCAGAGCTGTTCATTGTAGTGAGGACTGTTATGTCTCTATGGCTTCTGAAAGAGGTTATGGCTACTGCAAATACATCTTAAAGAAGGAAAGAATACTGTCGGCCAAGATGTGCAGTCCAAGCTTTGGAACTAGGCTGGCAAAACCCTACTCACATCCCTGTAAAGCAGACATATATTTTTGTATTTTTTATAGGTGGATACAGTGCAGACCACGAACCCCTCTGGCCACATTGAGGAATCGTGTAAAATGAATGTATGTGCTCGTAAGTGAAATACATGCAGTGTTCCAACTCAATATGTTGGATCCTAATAGACCTGGATTTGTCTTGTGTAAAAAGAAATCGATTCCCAAGGGGCAGGATCACTAACTGATTAAAATGAAGCTTTGATTTTGAAGAAAACAAACAAAAAAAGCTTTAAAGTAAGATCTCTGCAAAATGGAATCAAACTGCGCTTTGCAAACAAGTGAAAAAAATCAAGCTCTCAATATGGAATAAAGGAGGGATGTGAGAGAGGTTTTGCAATCTTATCAATTACTGTGGAGAAACAGAATCAGATACCTCCATACTCAGGAGTATGAAAAGAAGAACAGGAAATTCTTTTTCTTCAGTTTGCACTTGAATGGACTCAAGCAAAGAGTGCAGATATGTATCTTGTTACTGTTTATAGTTAATAATGTGGAGATTAGTATATATGTGATTTCATTTGCCTTGTTTGAACTAATTGGATGCATTATATAGAAATCACCTGAGCCTGTGCTAGATCAACAAAGAAAATGGAAATGTATACCTCAGGATTGAAATCCGAGAAAATTAGACAATTCAATGCTATTTAATAAGGCATTAAGAAGAAATACTATTGCCAATCAGGGAAAGTGAGAATCTAGTGAACATGAGAGGAAATAAAATTTAGGTCATTATTACACTAGTTGAAACACAATTTATGATGGTGTAAAAGCAGAATATAGGTCACAGTGTATCTCACAGACATTTTACACAGTTTCCAACTGAATTTAGGGTTAACTATGTAAGTGTTCAAGGAGTGTATGGCCATTATGTCAATAGGAAACTGTCCTTTTAAATTTGTGGTCCTATGCATTTATATATGCAGAGGAGGGCCTTTTTTAATTTATTGAGGATGAGTTGCATGCTGGAAGAACCTCTTTGCATTACAGTTACTTGCTCAATTGAAGATATTGTATAAATATAAAGTCTAATTTTTGTATGGGTGTGAGGGTATGTGTATGCATTTGCGTGTGTGTGTGTGTACAAGTGGAAGGTGGTAAAATTTAATGATTAGCATTTGCACTTTGGTTTGTTACCTAGAATGTAAAGAGGTAGAGTAAACTGTCTTAAGCCATTCTGTTATCATTATTAAAGATTATTTTTCACAAAGGAGGCACTTTTAAAATAGAATGGACTACTTCAACAATTTGCCAATTAAATATAATATTTAATGCAATTGAGCTATTTAAATTAAGATGATACCAATGGCTGAAAATAATGAGAGTAGGCTCATGTGAAATGAGTCTGCAGACAGTTGGAAATTCATAGTGTCCTCCTTCAGGCTGTTTCAAATAGCGGCAGGATGTGAATCATGGGTGCTACTGTAGAAAAGAATAGGGA